GCCTCGCCGGCCGCCGGGCTCTGGCCGCGGATGCCCGGCCGCCGCGGCGGGAGGACGCGATCCGCGCAGCCCACCTGAGCGCGGGGCTTGGGCCCGCGCCGGTACTTTTCCGCTGGGGCCGGGGCGAGCCCTCTGACCTCAGGAAACGCCGGCAGGGCGGGCTGGCCAGGGCAGTCCTCGGACGCTGGGTGCTCCCGCCCGCCGTCCTCCGTGGCCCCGGCGGCGGGGGCCTGGGCCCCGGGGGCGCGCTCCTGGGAGGGCGCGGGGTCCGCGGTCGGCCCGCACACCTGTGCGGCCGGAGCAGTCGGGGGCGGGATTCGCGGGCACGCGCAGGCCGGCGTGGGGAGGCTCTGGCTGCCTCCTGCCGAGGCCTGGCGGAGGCCCCTGCTGCCCCCGTCGGGTGGCTCGGCCGAGGGGCGGCCTGCTTGCCAGACAGGTCTGACGGCAGACGCTGGGCTGGTCAGCGCCTACTTTCCCACCGCCCCTGGTTCTTGCGCCAGGGGGGTGGGGGGGAGCGGACTTTCATCTCCCTGGAGCGCTGGGATCCTCCGACTTGGGAAGTACCGAGAGGCAGCGCAGGTGATGTGGCCCAGGGAGGGCCTGTGGCCGCTGGCCAGGTGTGGACCCGGCAAAGCAGAGTGGTCGAGCAGATTAGGTGTGTACCTTGGGCTTCTGTCTGAAATTTGTGTTTTTAAAAAGAGGATTCGATGGCTTAAAAAAAAAAAAAAAAGTTTGAAAGCCGCTGCCTTAATAGTTTTTAACCACGAAGGAAACTGAGGCCCAGAAGGAGGAAATGACTTGGGTGAGATCACGGAGGGAACAGTAGTTGGGCAGGGAGTAGGAGTTAGAATTTCTTGGGAGCCTCTGGGTGCCTTTAACAGGACCTGCCTTGGGGTCGCTGCTGGAAAGAGGGACCTGATTGGGTTCCCCAGCAGTCTCCAATGGCTCAGCCAGGCCTCCAGGTCCCAGGAAACAGCAGCCACACCTGGGGTGGTAGTTGGGGGGAGTTACATGCGTTTTGATGCCTGGTGGGTTGGCAGGTTCTAGGGAGGGGGGAAAAAAGGCTTTGCCCAAGAAAACAGCCAGGAACAGCAGCAGAGCTCAGCCTTTAGGCAGGCCCAGAGCTTGGTGTTGGACAAGACTGACCCAGAGAGGCTAGAAATACAGCCAGCCTCCTGGTTTTGAGACAACTGGGACTCAGAGCGTGAGTCAGAGTCTGGAATGGGGGTGGGGAGAAGCCTGTTCATTCATTGTTCTCAGCTCTTGGTTGTGTGTGTGTGTGTGTTTGGGGGGGGGGGGTCCGCCTTCTATGTCTGATGGTAAGGTAGGTCTGTCTGATGTCTGAATCCATATCCTACCCTTGCCATAGGTAGGGACACTTGGTGTGTGTGTGGGGGGGGGGGGGGGCTGTCCTGTTCAATTTTGCCTGAAGCTCAGTTGCTTGCTTTTTGGAGTGCTGCTAGGTATTAAGTAGTTAGTTAATCACCTTTAACGCCAAGCAGCTGTGGCTCTATCGCCAGTTTGCTGGAACCTGAGCTAGATCCAGACCAACCCAGCCATAATTTGGAAGCTGCAGGTAGGTCTCAGAGCTTTGAGCAGGTTTTAGCTGTGACAAGAAAACAGGCCCCGTATCCATGTGGTTTTTGCCTCTAAGCTTTTACCCTTTAGCACTGGGGCGCCTGATTGTTCGTACATGCTGGCTGTATCAGGGGTGGGGGGGGCATTTAGCTGTACCTCCCAGGCATGTCTTTGGAGCCCTTTGGACTCTGCCCTCCGGATGTGTAGTCTGCCTCATGGATGTCTCCTGCCATCAGCTGTCAGGTTATTTTGGTGTAAACTGAAAATACTCCAGGATTGTGTGTGGAGTCTTCTCAGCCTGTGGGTTGAGACAGCAGCAGTTAGGGAGGCCTGTTGTAGCTCAGGGCAGCTTCTGGAGAGCCAAGTTGTTGCCAGTGCTACCAGATCTGTCCAGCTTCCCAGGGTAGTGTGTGCTGAGGCAACTTCATCTCATGGTGTGGCTGAATCGTCACTTCTAGGGCTGGGCCGTGGGAAAGGTAGGGACATGGGGCCCTGGCACTGAGACAGGATACCCCCAGCAGCCTACTGGAACCTCTCCTAGCTCCCACCCTCCCCAGGAGCTTGGCTTGTGGCTAGTCAGGGGCCTCTTCTGGGGACAGTTATGTGGCCCCAGGCAGAGAGGTCTTGCTGTCTGTTTGCTGAAGGAGGGAAAACAACCCTCAGGACTATTGATTCAGCCTCACCTTGGTGCTCCCGGCTCAGCAGCCAGTGTTTGCCCTGGCTGCCCAGCTCAGATTACACAAGATGGTGGGCCTGGAACAAGCCAGGGGGTAGTTGTGGCTCCTCAACCCAGGCAGGGCTGGATAGCAGTAGCAAAGATGCCCAGGAAAGAGCCTGGGCCCTGCCTCTGTAGATGGCTGTCGTCTCAGCCCTAAAGGGAGGCAAAGCCTCAGGAATGATTCCCTGCCCGGAGCAAGCTTCTGCAGCCTCCACCCCAAGTCACCCACTCTTTCCTCCCAGGGACCGAGTCTTTTCAAATAACCCTACAGCTAACCTTTTTGCTGCACCAGGGCACCCTAACGAGCTGGGTAGACCCTGTTCATTTTTTAAAGAGCCAACATTTTATTCTTTCATGAAGTATACCTAGGTATTATGAGAGTATACAATAGCACAATGGAGAAAGTAACAATTTCTACTCCTAGCTCTCACCATCTCCAAGGAGCCATTGTTAACATTTTAATGTGTCTCCTTCCAGATTTTGTTTTGGTTATGTATAAACATGCATGTACAGTTTTAAGAAAACAAAATGGAATCATGAGTACATTCCATTTTATAATGTATCTTTCTTTCTTTGGTTATTGTTTGTTTTTTATTTGAACTGACTCAAGTCCTGATTGTATTCTTGATGGAGAAAGGCTTGTGAAGGGAGATGGAGTCTTTGTGTCCGTTTGGCTGACCTTTAGGGGTATGGGCTGGATTTCTTTCAGAGACAACTTGGAGGTTCATGGTGTGTTTGCATGTTTGTGTCTGTCTGTTGGGGTGGGGGGGTTGGTCTTGGAGCCCTCGGGGCTGGAGTTACAAGCATTTGTGAACCATCCAGTACAGGTGCCGGGACGGGAACTCTGGTCCTTTGCTGCAGCAGCGTGTGTGCTCTTAACTACTGTCTCTCCAGGCCTGACCACTGTCCTGATTTGGGGTGTTGTTTGTTTGGTTTTGAGACAGTGTCTCTTACCTAACCTGGAGCTTGTGGACTTGGATAGGTTAGCCAGCCAGCAAGCCCCAGGGATTCTTCTGTCTCATCCTGCCTGCAGCGCTGGAGTCACAGGCACAGGCTGCCAGGCCTACCTTCTTATGTGGGTCCTGGGACTCCAGACCCGGGTTCTCAGGCCTGGGCAGCAATGACAGTTCCTTCTGAGCCGTCCTCCCCGCCCCTCAGGTGTTCGGTCTGCTCATCTCCCCTGAAACGCCCTCTAGGCCCTGACTAAGCCTTCAGAACAGGAAGGTCAGTAGCAGTGTGTGACTGAGAAGGGCTGACTCTTTTCCTCTCTTCCTCTTGTTTCCTCAGGGCCAGCCCTCATCCTGCTCCCACCAGCCCTGCCCATCTCGGCCCCATGCCCCCGCCAGTCAGCTCCGGGCCCCTGGCAGTGAGCAGGCACGTGGCAGCCAAGGCCCTGTGACCAGGCCAGGGAGACGGGAGCTCCGGGGTCCCGGCGATCTGCCCCCCCATGGAGCTGAGGCCCTGGTTGCTATGGGTGGTAGCAGCAGCAGGAGCCTTGGTCCTGCTAGCAGCTGATGCTCGTGGCCAAAAAGTCTTCACCAACACGTGGGCTGTGCACATCTCGGGAGGCCCAGCTGTGGCTGATAGCGTGGCCCGGAAGCATGGGTTTCACAACCTGGGCCAGGTAGGTTTCTTACGTGGCCTATTGGTGTAACTTCAGGACATTACCTGGTGGTGGGGAGAGTGAGGGCAGAGGCTCTTGTACCACAGCAGAAATAGTTGAGCTTGTCTTGCAGGGCATGGGGGCAAGAGGCAGGTTTTGAGGGGCATTGTCCTGTGTGTGAGCTTTCATCATAGTCATTTAGAAAAACCAGCAATCCCAACGACGCTGTGCCTCTCTATCCCCTGCATGTTCTCGTGGGCCCTGAGCAGGGAACAGATGCCCCCTCCCCAACTGCCGCCTTGGTGAGCCTCCCAGCAGCACTGTCCACCCCCAGCTCTGCCTCCTCCGGGGACCAGCAGATGGAAGGCCCATCTCAGTATCACTGCTTTATTGCAGATCTTTGGTGACTATTACCACTTCTGGCATAGAGCAGTGACAAAGCGGTCCCTGTCGCCTCACCGCCTGCGGCACAGCCGGCTACAGAGGGAGCCTAAAGTAAGTGTGGCCCTGGCCCTTCTGGCTGCCACCCCCTTCTGTTCTGAGCCTTCTCCCACTCTGCACCCCCCCACACACCCTGTATCATCTTTCTCTCCTGCTTAGGTGAAGTGGCTGGAGCAGCAGGTAGCAAAGCGAAGGACCAAGAGGGATGTGTATCAGGAGCCCACGGACCCCAAGTTCCCCCAGCAGTGGTACCTGGTATGCTCCTTGGGCTCTGTCCTCTTCCCCTCCACTGTGAGGTCCTGTGAGTGGATGAGGCTTCCTTCTCTAATTCTTTCCTCCTTTTATTTCTGCCTCAAGCCCGGCGGTTCTCAACCTTGCTAATGCTGCAACCCTTTAATACAGTTCCTCATGTTGTGGTGACCCCACCCATACAATTATTTTGTTGCTACTTCGTTACTGTAATTTTGTGACTGTTAAGAATTGTAATGTAAATACTCTTAGAGATAGAGGGTTGACGAGGGGGTCTCGACCCACAGGTTGAGAACCACTGTTGTAGTGCCTCCTGCTGCCCCAGAATCTGTATATTTCCAGGAGAACCCAGGAGTGGCGTTTTTAAATGACTTATTCATTTTTATTTTACATACATTGTTGTTCGGCCTGCTTGTATGTGTGTGTTGAGGGTGTCAGATCCCCTGGAACTGGAGTTACAGACCATTGTGAGCTACCATGTAGGTGCTGGGAATTGAACCTGGGTCCTTTGGAAAACAGCCAGTGCTCTTAACCTCCCAGCCATCCCTCCAGTCTCCAGGAGTGGTATTTTAAGAGCCGGAGTGGGTGGAGACAGAGGTTTTGAGGTGGACCGAGCTCTCTGAGATAACAACCAAGCATCTTTGGTAATGGGCTGGTTGTCTCTGCAGTCTGGTGTCACTCAGCGAGACCTGAATGTGAAGGAAGCCTGGGCCCAGGGCTTCACGGGGCATGGCATCGTGGTCTCCATCCTGGATGACGGCATCGAGAAGAACCATCCTGACTTGGCAGGCAATTATGTGAGGAGCGAGGAGTGGCAGTAGTGATCCCTGGGGAGGGCCCCGAGGGACTGTCCTGTGACGGCAGCGTGGTTGGGAGCTCCTGATGATGCCATGTTCTTACCAGGATCCTGGAGCCAGTTTTGATGTCAATGACCAGGACCCTGACCCACAGCCTCGGTATACACAGATGAACGACAACAGGTGAGAAATGCCATGTTCCTGGTCTCTGAGCCTCCTCCCCTCTCTTACCCATCAAGAACATAAGGGTGAGTCTGAATGTCACAGGTCCCACCTAAAAACTGACGCCTTTCTGGGCATGGTGGCATTCCCCTTTGATCCCAGCACTTGGGAGGGAGAGGTTGGCAGGTCTCTGTGAGTCTGAGTCCTGGTCTACCTAGAGAGCTCCCTGCCAGCCAGGCTGCGTAGTGAGACCTTCTCTCAAGACAACAGCATCGGAACCACCCAGCTGAAGTCTCTGTGTATAGTCCTGGTCCCAAAGGGAGTTCCGGCTTTGGTTTTTCCAGATATGGTTTCCATATGTAGCCCTGTCCTGGAATTTGCTCTGTAGACCAGGCTGGCCTCACGCGCAGAGAGCCACTGGTATCTTCACCATTAAAGGCGTGTGCCACCATGCCGGGGTCCAAGGGAGGTTCTGGTCAGAGCAGGGAGGGCTCCAGGCCCCACGAAGAGGTGCCGTGTCACAGTGGGATGACAGCCGTGGCTCAAGGTTCTGGCCCTTCGCCTTCCTCCAGCCGCTGCTGTGCTCTCACCCCCTCACTGCTGTGTCCTCGCTCCCGGCAGGCACGGTACTCGGTGCGCAGGTGAAGTGGCAGCGGTGGCCAACAATGGTGTCTGTGGTGTGGGTGTAGCTTACAACGCCCGGATTGGAGGTGGGTATGAGCTTGGCCGTGCGTCCACATTGAAGGTGGGAGGGATCTCTCTCGGAAGTTTTTCTGCCTACTCACCACCTTCCACGGCAGATCCTTTGGCAGCATGCTAGTCTATGGAGGTTCTTAGCAAAAGGAAACGCTGGAATCCCAGTGCTGGTAGCATGGCAGGGTGGGGTGGGGCCTTCTAGCAGAAATCTCCCTACATCACAGCATGACCTTCGCTCCTCCTGTGAGGCCCAAGACTCCGCTTAGTGAGGAAAGTGTGGCTTGGGGAATCCTCCTCTTTGGGTCCTGTTCTTGAACAGCAGTGATAGACAGTAGATAAGGGGCTTTGGGTTTCCCAGCACTGGCCTCTCCTCTCTCTTGCTCCTCCCTGGGGTTCAGGCTGGGCCTGTGCCTACGGGTGCCCCTGGCGGCTGGACCCAGGCAGCATCCCT